CACAGCCCCTTGACCTGTATCCCCCCCTCCCCCCCCAGGGCAGTGCTACTGACTGAAGTTTCTTTAGGCCATTCTCAAAGGGGGGATATTAACTTGTTCTTATGTAGCCTTCGGTAAAATTGTAAATGGGCTGATTTATCAATGTCATGCTCCTACTATGCCGGAACAACATAGGGGGAACTGCTGGGTTTTTTCCCCCTCATCCGTACTATCGTCATTTTTCCGTTACTTATTTTGTATGTTTGTCACTCTCTTGTGAACTGCTATTCCGGGGTGCCTTGATAGTCGAAGCAGACTTTATGCTGTTGAGGCTAGAGAGGTGAGCAGAGTATGCTTGATTACCTGTAAGGACTTCTCTGTTGACATCCACCCCTTGGCGCTCATATGACCTTATGCAGTTGCAAGCGCCGTAAAACCTCTACTACACTAAAAACCTTTCTAAAACAAAACTAATCTCTGGTCATCTAAACCCACAGCATGTTCTGGTGCGGTTTGCTTCTTCTTTCCTATCAAACATCTATCGTCCTATCTCTCCTTCTTCTTTTTTAGGTTTGTTACTCTCTTGTAACACCTCTAATCTTCTGGCGCTCATATGACCTTATGCAGTTGTGAGCGCCGTAAACTAAAACCTCTACTAAAAAAACTAAAACTAAAAAGTCACAACCCACTGACCTGTGGTCATCTATACCCCAGGTATGACCGACGTGCCCAGAGCTCCAGTAATAGTACTTCCTGACTTTCCCTGATTTTGCCCTCCTTTTGGCGCAAGTTTTTTGCGGCGCGGGCTCTGGACACCCAACATGGCCGCCACGGAGAGAGAGGAGCGAGCGAGCGAGTGGCCAGACGCCCACTGGTAGGTCTGTCTCGCCGCCGCTGACGTCATCACCGCTGGCCACCTGCGGCCCTGAGGGCAACTGTTGCCAGTGTGGCCGTCTGCTCCTCCTCGTCTGTTCGGCTGGGAGGAGGGAGAGCTTACTTTGTGTACCTGGCAACTTCCTCCGTCTGCTGGTGTCTGCGAGCAGACGTCCCATGGTGGCTCCAGGACCATGTTGTTTCTGTCCTCAATATGTCACATGCTGCTGTCTAACTTTGACAGTATTAATTCACATCCTCTTTGCATTTAGCCCTTGTAGTCACTCAGTAGTACCACTTTGCCCTTAGAAAAACAGTCAACTTTATAAAGAGCCAAAACAGTCAACTTTATATATAGCCAAAGCCAGGAGTAAGGCAAACATTAGGTTGACAAGGTGTTGGAAAAGTCCTTCCCTTTTGTATCATCATGCCTTTGATTATGTTACATTTACATTTACACTAGACTAGACTACAACCTCTGTCCTTGACGCCCTGACGAAGAAGATTTTCCATGGCTATATTACAAATTTTTAAGCCAGCTGTTGATCACTAAAACATATGCTGGTCGGTGGGCAGCCGTATATTTGCGTGTGAGACTTGGACCCTTGGACAAATCTAGGACTATATTGTTGACAGCTAGTTTGCCTCTATCTTCTCCAATACTTGTTGGTTTTGATGATGATGATGATGATGATGTTTTTTTCTAACCAGCTTTTTCTCCTGTGGTGGTGTTGTGGTACATTGTGTTGTGTTCACCGTCAGGACTGACCCATGGGGTTGACCAGTGGGTTGACCGGCGGGGTGACCGGTGGTTCGGCGGCCACATTGCCACTGTGTTGTGTGTGCTGGCCTCCTCTGCGACGCACGTCGTTAGGGATATGATGTGTGTGTGTGTGCTGCTGCCAGCCGTGTGATGATGGTGCTGGTGGTTGTTGTTGTTGTTGCTGTTGTTGTTGTTGTTGTGGTGGAGGTGGTGATTTGGACTTGTCTGCCTGTGCCTCATGCCAGCTGGCCTGGCAGTTTTACGGAGGCCTCAATAAATGTGTGGGGGGATTTTTATGTGGCCGCTCAGCCGG